GCCCGCCCCCGCGCCCGCGCCCGCGCCCGCGCCCGCGCCCGCGCCTGCGGTGGCACCGCCCGTCAAACCTCGGACATTTCCCGTCCGCTGGGGAATGCGGCTCCGAACGCTCTGCTTTATTAAAGCCAAAATTATGTGTCAGGACGACGTGGGACAAACGAGGGAGAAGGTCACATTATTACTTTTTGCAACTACGTTACAAGCACTGGCAGACTGATTAGTGAATTTGAATGTACTACACGTAATCACGAGAAATATATTATTCCGAGACAAAAACCGCGTATATTGAGTAAGAGACTGATTTTTTAACTTTGCATGGATATTTTTCATTTTTTATTAATTGTCACCTCTTGAAATTAAAATATTGTTTTTATTTAATATAGTATATTTTGATATTAGTTACAACCATGCCAGTTACCAATTTGTAAAACTATATACAGAGTATTAACTCTCTTCCGGTGGTTTCAAGTATGAAAATGAAAATTATTATTTTACCTTCAATTTGAAACATCAAAACTTGTATTATTTACAAGGCAACAAAGAATATTCCATTCGCATTGTGCATCCCTTGAAGATCATACAAGTATTTATTATATTCAGAAATATGTTTTGCAACCAACTAGGAAGATAAATATAACTTCCCTTTGACTGAAAAAAATAGTTTTCAATAGAGAGAACATTTAAATAAGATTAATTCTTGGATAATTTATCATTAATGCAATTCCTTTCATAGGTTTAAAAGAGTAAAAGTGAGATTTGGTTTACGTCTCACGTATAATGTTCTACAATTTTGCTTCAAGAAGATTTTTATGGAGTCATTTCCGAGCTTATCTCTGAATTTAACACGAATGAAAGAGAACCAATAAGTGGAATGCACGAAATCAAAACGATCAATAATGCATTGACAATTTAATTCAGAATAATTATTTGCCTCATACATACAGTCTACGTGTCAATGGAAACTGATCTGACCAAAACACAAAATAAATATTTCATGTCTCTCAAACATCAAACGGGAGGAAAATATCCGTAAAAATAACTTTGCATACTGCATATTTTACATCAAAATGAAAACCACTCGCACAAGCAAATTTTTAAGCGGTCGCGTTGTTCATGGGCGCGGCAGAAATCAATATTCAGGCATGTTCCTCTTACAAAACACTTCCCATACTACTACTTCATCAATAAAAAATGTGACTTTGATACAACGAACAAAAATATATTCAATGAAGGGAAGGAAGGAGTAGTTAAAGCACGAAATCTTTTTAGTACATCGATATGGGTTACGAATTTATTTGAGTCTTCATTATGTCGTTAAATGTATAATTATCTTTATTGATCCATAAATCCACTTTTAATATTAATTCAAAAACTTCGGCCGAGAGTGGTGCAACGTTTATGATCGTTTTTCTTTTTAGACGAACTGTTATCATTAGCGTGTATTCATTTCGATAAAAAAAGTTGTTCTCATTTCAAATATCGTAGAAGAGTGTGAGGGCTGGGGGCTGGTAGATGAATTGATATTTTATCTGGTAAAGCATGTCGCTCTTGGGCTGCAATTGTGATACATCTAAAAAAAATACGAATTTTGAGTGAATGCAGTCTTCAGAATTGCAAATTGGTGTACCTTCCAGCAACAACAGTAGCAAATCTTACAGTACAGTATTCCACCAACAAGTGTTAGAGTTTGAATGCAAGAACGATGCATTTCAAAGCGAAAACTTCAAAAACATTTATTTCAATATCTGACTTTTTGAGTTGTGCAATTTTTGCGACCCACGAATAATATTACTTTTCAAAATTTGATAAGTATATTTTTTAACAGAATTTCAATAGTCTAGGTTGATATTTTTGTGCCTCAAGGCCTATCTGTAGCAAGTAATGAAATGTGTTTATCTTCCCTTTTTATACCGCTTTCACTTTCAGGTTTAAATCATGCTTCACTATCGCCCACAATAATTCATTATCCGTAAACTCAGCATACCATCTAACAATGTCATCTCAGCAAATTATCAGAATGAACCTTATCATGAACGCAAATATACCTCTTCTGGAGCGGTTACATATGCACTGCACTTCGCACTATAGTACGTTGGTTTCTACAGGACGGTAGAAAATTGCATTCGGGCCTCCAAAGGACTCCGGTGTCACGGTGTGACAAATCGTGTGTGATGCTCTGACTTTCAAAATCGCAAGCGCTTTCCGCCAGCGAAGAACAAAGACGCGTCGCACGAGGACAAACTTCCGATGCAGCCGGAGGCCGTCAGCTCAGCGTCACAAGGGGGAGGCGGTCCGAACCAAAGCGACGACTTTCGGGAGACGGGGAAAGGGACGCGCTTGGCGGGGACTCTGCGTCCATTATCGTGTGGCAACCGAATTTCAATATGTCAACAACGACTCGCAGTGAAGTTTTTCTTTTTTCTCTACAATATGATACATATACTATATTCAATCAATCAATCATCAATGTATCTATAAATATCTATCTAGAGAGAGAGAGAGAGAAAGAGAGAGATAGTGTGCTTAAGGTTTCATTTACGTGTAACTTCCCTCACACGTCCAGCAATAAAATTTATTACTGGTTTCCGAAGATAGTTAAACCTGGTGCAAGGTGGCGAGGAGACACACGCAATTTGTACCATAACATCAGAATGTCTATGTGTGTGTATCTTTCTGGACGCATAGATAATATTTTGGGCTGAATCTTTGTACCTACATCAGGAGTATGATCTAGTTATGTCGTTCAGGAATTCTTAAAAATATTTTAATTTCGGGGTACTTTATTTGAACCCCTGTGACATTTTGAAAATTTTCTGGGAAATAGTTATAATTTTAAACCCCTTGTAACAGTTAGTTTCTATGCAATCTAATATCACATTTTGCCGTTTAGGTTGAGATATTTGTCCCTGGTTTCCAAAATTTTGACGGAATGAAATCCATAGCCGCCGGTGAATTTTTGAAGGGTAGAAACTTTTACAGAAGCCACATCATTGTTGTGGTACGAGCCCAACAAAAAGGAATTCTCTGCCAATGTCCGTCCTAATAAGAACTCACATTCTCACAGCCTGGTGAGACGGAACCAAAGGAATGACTGAGACCGTTGTTGCGTCGGTTGCTGGGGGACAAAACAAGTTATAACTTGGTCTCCCATATACGAAGTTCGACTACATCCATGGACCAATGTGCAAGCCATTAGACAACAACTTAAACCACACTATTATATAAATATAACAATTAATACAATTTCTACATGGCGTAAGTAAAGTTAACAGTCTTTGACATCAGGAACCGCGCAAAGAACTTCGAATTCATTATTTTATGTCTTTATTCTTCATCTCACAGAAAACCTTTATAACAACCAACGACCTTCACCTCAATGTAAAAAAATACTTTATGACAAAACTATTTATCCAAATCCTGGAATATGATCATATTTCCCTCAGAACATTTCCCATCCTCCTTAGCTTAATTATCCCCTCTTATAATTCATATCTTTTTAAATTCTATGCTACTTATTGAAATACAGTTAATAAGTTATTCTTTTAAATTATGAGTAATATTATTTACCTGCAGATTATTTGCTGATATCTTCTCTACATTATTATTTTAAACGAAGTTCAAATTCCTGAAAAATTGTATGAGTGGACATATATAAAATAAAAGAGCAACAGTGCTGGCGGCCTGTTGCCTCGGGCACGGGGCGAAGTGCCCTCTCTCGTGTCTCAGGTCATTGTAACGTCGGATCCTGGGGGGTCAAAACTAGATGTAGCGTTGGGAGACCAAATTCGAAAACTTTGAACGTTATAGACCATGTTTGAGTCGGGGCCAATCACCAAGTCATTAGACAACAACATCATTCATAAACATACAAATGAATACTGCTATTCCATGGCATAAATTATGACCTGGACGTCAGCGCCCAGGCATGCAGCGTGCCGCCTCAAGTGCGGGGTGAGGTGGGGTGGGGTGGGGTGGTGTGGGGTACTCACTCGTGGTGCTGCGCGGGGTCCTTGGGGTAGCGCAGGCGCAGGTTGCGGCGGATGTCGTTCGTCTGGTTGGCGCGGCGGCTGGCGGACAGGCGCGCGGGCAGCAGCATGGCGGTCTCTGCGCACACCAACACACCGATATAAGTACTAGCTAGCAATACTAACAAGTACGAGCCACGATTCAGAATAAATGAAGATTATATATATATATATATATATATATATATATATATATATATTATTGCTTAAAATAGATTAAAAAGGATAAGCAGGAGCATGTAATGATTTTACCACTAGTTTTGAAACTAGTGGCTTGAAGGAGCAAAATTTATGCTGAACAAAATCACACAAAACGGCTTTCCAAATATTAAAAAAAATATAAACATCTAAAATGCTCTCGTATAGTATTAAAATAAATTAAATATTTGAATAAAAATAGTTCACAAATATTTCATTAACATAATGTAATAGTATATACCCAGTACAAGAATCAATAATATAACGACAAAAAATCAGAAACGTTGCCGTTGCATAACGCAACACGTTAGTAACAAATTTTTAATGGCGGGAGACGGCTTCCTTAGATCCTTGCTGTCGCACGCTGTGTTCTAAACAGGGATGCAATGAGTATGATAATTCAGTCGGTACGCACAGCATGAGAGTTGGCAGAACGACAGAAGGTAATGAAGCATGAGAATAGGTAGAATAACACCTTAAAATAGTTACATTATAAGTCCAAAACCAAATTCTTTCATTGTTTTTGGATTTTCCCAATTTCCTGGGTATGTAATGAAAGAGACACCGTTCACAAGGCCGGAGGCTATATAGATTTCTGCGCACGTTCGAAATTCCTTCTACAGAAATGTTGTTCTCAGACAATTAAAGACAATCAAAAATATGTTTTAAAAGAATATATTTGTTTAAAACACAATAAAACACCCCCATATGTTTCATTGACATATTAACCACATCTTTAGACATGAATCTGTACGTAAGTGTAGTAAGAAATTTAAACAATATAACATTTTAAAAACCCGTAAATGTCAAGAAAGTGTTTAAAAATGAAATTTCGTAAACAATTTTATTCAAATTTCGGAAAAGAACTCACTTTTACAGAAAATATATCTGAAACTACTAGAAATCTCAATTAAACAGAAAATTTTAGAGTGATACAAGAATTTACTAATTCACTTTTTAAACTAATTCATAACAGCTCTTTGAATTAGCACATTTTAGGTGACATGTATCAGATCAAGGTGCATAAGATCTTACGTTACGACAGAGGACGAACGCTTCCATTTCTCATGATATAATATGCACTTTACTTACGGGTACAATGACTTCAGCAGTTAATGGGCCAGAAAACAACAATCATTCAATGAAACCCATGAAAATTTCGACGTTTTTTTCCCATTACTTGACTTTTGTCTTCAGATAAATGGCTTTCAAATGTCTCTGACTGCTTATTGGATATCGCTATTTAAGTAGTGTGGTTTCAGGTATTCCAAGAACGCAGCATATCCGATAGGCGTCCGAACGCACATTGTTGAATGGCACGCACGCGGTATGCGACGAGCGCGAGGTACTGAATGGAACACAATGATCGGCCATTCCTCCTCGGTGACGTCACGTCACATGTCAAACGTCCAACCTGCGACCGCATCGAACTCACCTTGTCAGCCCCGAGCCCTACAGAATTCTCAGAAGCCACCCAGGGCGATTTCTGATGAGGTCGTAGTTCCTATTAGGGATCGCTGATAACGCTGGTAGAAAAAAATTACGATGGAGCAATGGTAGAGTGAGAAAGGAAATAGAAAAACCTACCCGTAATTTACTTTTCCAATCACAAATTACAGACTTTTTTCTTCCTGGGTCTTCTTCCAGCTTCGAGGTGGCTGGAGCGTGAGCCGACTCACCGCCTCGGTCTGAAGGTCGCGGGTACGAGTCCTGCCGTGGGCATGGTTGCATGCATGGTGGTATGGGGATGTGCATATATGTGCGTTGTTGCGGAAGTCCTTGTGAGTCTGCTGACCACAGACCGAGGATTAATCATGTATGCCCAGTGTAAACGTTAATATGTGTCCCCATGTGGGAAAAATGGGACACCCAGTGCGGATAGTCGAAATCGGTAATCCCTGAAGCTGGAAACAGCCCCAGCAAGATAAACAAAACTGTCAAATGATATAGTTTAATTTAATTTAATGCAATTATATATTGCATAATGCACCTAAGTATTAGTATTAGTTTGCCAATCAGCGTTGCAATTTCGTAATTTATTGGAAATTATATTTTGATGGCATTCGAATTTAGAATTTTTGTTTAGAATTAGGGCTTCTTTGAACTAAAATTGTATTTCCGAGGTTATTTTAACTTCAGTCAATTTGTCAAACTCGACGTAATTCTCCTATTTCCGTTTCAAAATTATTCGGTGGTCTTCGGTGTTGGGATGTTTTCAAACATGTTTCCAATCTCTGATTTCCATATAGAGAGATGCGACATTCGGTGGCTGCACCACTGACCGTCCGAGCAGCCACACCAGCACTAATTTTCATGATGGTTTCCCTAATCGAGTCTCTGAGCTCACACTAAAGATGGTGAAAATGTAATGAATAATGATGGTGTTGAAGAGTGAGTGGAATGAGTGGCAAGAGAAATTAAAGAATCTGAAATATATCTATCACTAAGCCGAATTGGCCACCATAAACTTTCCGTAAAGTAAACAAGGATTCCACATTTTCAAAGGTATGACAGGGATTTCATTTCACATGAAAATATATTTTTATAAATGCATCTTTATCTTAAACCTAGGATGACGTACACTTAATTGATCCACATTTACATTAGAGTAGAAATTAGCAATGCTGTACATAGTTGCAGATAAAACTAAAATTTACAATCATATATGTAGTATAATAGTGTGTGCTAGAGCGTATATATTCTGTAAAGGATCGAGTGGCATTTGTATAACAAGTAGTTCGTTATTATATTTCGTATAATAAAAGGTTTTTTATTATATCTCATATTACCAATATAAGATATTTCTCTCAAATAGATTGTACTCTACACAAAAACGTGACGTAAATTAATAAAAGGTAATGACTTTATGATATCCGTTTTAAGCTGTTTCATAGTTAGAATACATTTTTGTTATTATTCTGCTTCCTTAGCTTTTTCAGTCACACATGAAATGAATGATTTGGCTGGATTATTAATGATATGACTCGAATGATGAAAATGGCAAAATAAGAGACAGGGGAAACACGAGAACCCCAAGAATGTCTGCTACAAACTCGATACCACAAGTTCCAATGTAACGATAAGAAATTAAACCCTTTCCTGAGAAGGAAGATGATCTGTATAAAATGTATTCTTTATTCAGATACCGGAATGGATGAGCGATATGAAGGTATGGTATGAACGTTGATGGAGTAATTGTGGAATTAAAGGCATTTGAAACGGGAACGTAGCTAGAACACCTACCGTGAACCTGCTGTGTCCACAACAAGTTCCACACAGCTCTACCAGGATTTGAATTCCCGTCCCAGCGGTGGAAAGCAGGCAGTCTCGCTACAATACCACGGGTACATAGTTTAAATGTAATTAAAGATTTATCAATTTTCGCAATTTCGGAACTGGTAATGGGACATGGGACGCCAGCCCATCACGACTCCAGCTTCCAACCTCACCACCGACCCTTAGAGCAACTATGAAATGAAAGATGTGGGAAACAGTGACATGGCTATAAAACTAACCGCAGACCAGCTGTGTCTACAACAAATTCCTTACGGAACTACCAGGATTTGGATTCCCGTCCACAATGGACAACAGGCAGTCTCACCTTAGTACCACGGGTAACCCAGTATAGAGATAATTATAAATTTATCCGTTTTCACAATTTCGGTACCGGCCATGTGACAAGAGACGCCGGCCTCTCCTCGACGTCCCCGGCTGCCAGCTCAACACTGCGCCATGGAGCAATTATGAAATAAAAGGCATGAGGAACAGGAACGTAGATAGAAAACCCACCTCAAACAAAAAAAACATTCCACACAGCTCTACCAGGATTTGAATTCACGTCCCAGGGTTGAAAGGGAAGCAATCGTACTACAATAACCACGGGTCACCCAGTTTAGATGTAATTATAGATTTAACCATTTTCGCAATATTGGTACCGGCAATGTGACATGAGACGTCAATCCACCTTGTCCATGGTCGGCAGCCTCACCGTCGGGCCATGGATCAATTATGAAATAAAAGGCATGAGGAACGGTAACATTGCTAGAAAACGCCCCTCAAACCTGCTGTTTCCAGAACAAATTCCGCACGGATCTACATTGATTTGAATTCCCGTCCCTGCGCATGAAAGCGAGCAATACCGCGAGTCGTCCTGTTTAGATGTAACTATAGATTCATCCATTTTCGCAATTTCGGTACCGGTCATGTGACATGGCCGCCGGCATCACCGCCCCGAGGGCAGCTGCGCGCGACGGCCGTCATGTCGGCGCGGGCGGCATCTGCGAGAGCAGCGCCGGCCGGTGCGCGCGGCAATCGCCCGGAAGAGAGCGCGGAAGAGAGCGGGGCGCGCGAGAGCGGGGAAGAGAGCAGGAGGGCGTGGGCGACCGACCGCGACAACCTCCGCAGCCCGGCGTCGGGGATCCACAGTCACTGGCGTCGCGCGGATTATTATCGATACTCGATGCAACGGCGCAAACATTAGAACTCTGCGTACGCCGAGCAAACCGTGTGCGAGTCTCGGCTATGCTTTGAGCCTCATTTACACTAAGCAATTTCCATCCAACTTCGCTTCTACGAGTACATGACCAATCAGTTGGACGCTTTTCGTCTGAAAAAGTTCCTTTTGCTTCATTTTATGTACGAAACATTTACACCATACACGAAACTGGTGGTTCTCTACAAGGGTTTTTGTTTGGTTGTTAGTGATTACGGGCGTGTCAAGGGCTAAGGTCATTAGTCCCGAGAGTGTGGAGGATTATTTTCCCTTGGGAGGTGGCGCTGATCTTCCCCCTCTGAATGTTGAAATCCGGTTCCGACCTACAGTCGGCTAACGGGGTGTTCCCTCAACCATATATGAGTTATCTCCCATAATCGGAGCACCGTCTCAGACGGGGCAAGCTCTAACCTGCTGAGCGGTCTTCCAGCATGTGTAGCAGTGTGGTGCATGTTAGTGTGTGTGTGTGTGTGTGTGTGTGTGTGTAAGTAAGGGATGAGGAGAGGTCAAGGAAGAAAAAGCAAAGATCGTGCGTGGTCCGTGACCTGTGTGTTAGGGTATTGCCCCGGCATTTGTCTGGTTTTGTTTGGATAATCCACGAAAAACTACCAATCACAGCAGCCGGCTTCTAGTATTTTCCTCCGGACTGCTACTGAATTCGATCTAGCTGACAAGCAAGTGCTGAAATTCCTGCCACAATCCGAACTCGAACCAAGAATCTCGCGGTAGAAGGCACCGCAGTAACATCAACTGATGCCCTAAGCACCTTTTCCCGTTTCCCTACAACAATTCATTTTTGGACGCCACCATTATGTTATACTTTGCGAGTTTTTTCAACAGGTTGGTTTAGATTAATGCTTAATGTTGAGTTTACTGGAAACGGGTAATATGTTTTGCAGTCAAAACTACTTCTCTCTCAATCAGGTCCATAAATCACACAACCTAAATACGTCAAATATCACCGATCTATTTCGAAAATAAGACAAATTCCAACGCGCGATAACGGTACGGCGTCTACACAATGCGAAATGAGTTTGTTACGAAACTAGCGCTACGTGATAGTCAAATGAAACATTTTCATTTACATTGCATACAGTACGTGTAAACTGGTGTAATTTCTCCTTCCATTTTGTGTACAGAGACTGTTTAGTGTAAACGCCGTACGCCATTTTTGTGTCCAATATTGGAGAGTGTAGTATCATGTCATCAAGTTTTATGGAGCTGCCCTTCAAACCATTCATATCGTGGGCCCTCGAAAGGCCGAACAAGAGAAAGGCAAAGGCTTGAACAGGAAATAAGTTCTGAATTTGAGAACGAAACCCTCGACTTAAAAAAGATATAATGTATTACTAAAGCTAGGAAACGAAAACATTTCCATATTTACAAATAATGATAAAATATTTAAAAATAATACTTATTTTTAATTACTGAAAGTATCATAAATAAAAAGTGTCATAAACCTGTTATAATTAAGTAATTCGTTAATTACGTTGCGTAATGGTAGCTGCAGGATCTTCTTGCTTAAATTTCAATGCACGAAAATTTATACTGCATTGCTCTCGCGTTTCAGCCTTTGGATTGACACCCATATCGTTTTGGGGGTATCATTTCAGGTAAAAGACATTAGAAAGAGTAAAATAAGTTATATTTTGCAAGAAGGAACTTGGTGATGACAAAGGAAGGCGAGTATGCTGTTTCCCCCAAGGAATAACATCTTTTTACTCGAGAATATCATGCACTTGTATATTATTAGCATAAAAATGAAACCTAGAAAAATTGAACGAAATATATAAATATTGCCAATACGCTCATGTAAAACGTTATTTAAATAATGTTGTCAAGGGAATGTAACCAAACTGATTCACTGAGGTAAACACAAATTGGATCAGCAGTTATTTCTAGACAAACAATAATACCTTACCCAATCGTAAAATCATCTCTGTTTTTTTTCACAAATATTTTCCGTAAAGGTAATAAAATATAGGATACTAATTTTGAAAATAGGTCTTTTCTTAAAAACATGTTTTTCTAAATCCGCAAAGCGTAAACCTTTCACGAAAATGTGGCAAACCTGCGAGAATTTAATTATGCTAGGGACTGGGACACTGGTGTAAATAATAAACCACTCTCCCAGAGAAAGCTAATGACACAACGTGGCATTTCATTCTGAAGAGAGCGCCATTTTCTAAGATTACACCACCTCACAATAGTCTGCGCGAACGTTAGCACGCCAGGCTCACTTCAGCTCATATCTTTGCCCCGAGCACGCCGCCTCCATCCTCCGTGTGCGTCGCCGCATTTCGCCCTCGCCAGGAGGACACGCCGCCCGTACGTCACTCCTCTCCCACCGTCACCCGCCTCTCCCATTACAATGCCCACGCGCACAAGCCGTTGCCAACCTTCCCCGCTCAACAGTTACGATGCCTCCCCTACTGCACCCTAGGCGCCCCGTCACTCAACCGCTTCGTTCCCACCCTATGTCTCCCTCACTGTCGCCCTCGATCCCGTTGCCGCCACTGTCATTGTCACCGTGATTCCGTTGCCAACATCGCATGCCAACCATGCCGATGTCTATACCTATCCCCTTACCAACGTCCCAGCCAACGCCCAGTCAACGCCCACTAGCAAACGCTCCTGCGAAATCCCTTGCCGCGCTCGGTCAACACCCCTCCAATCATTGCCAGCATGCTTGCTAGAGTCCCTGCCAGTGCCCCTGCCGACATCTATGTCAATACCCTTACTAGCGTCCTTGTCAACGCCCTTGCATACGCCCTTGCCAACGTCCCTACCAAATCCTTTGTCACGCCCCTCCAGTCACTGCCAATGAGTCTACGAACGCTCTTGCCATCGCCTCCGCCAACGCCCTTACTAAAGCCCTTGCGAATACATTTGCCGCCTTCCCCGCCTTTTCGACGCCTCAGGCTCGTCTTGCCTCCACCACTTCCACCGCCAGCCGCCTCCATCACCATCACCTCGCCGTCGACCCCACCCCGTACCGCAGCCGCCGCAGACGTCGTCTTCTGAATTTGTCATCGTCGCGCATTACAACAAAAGCGCCTCGCCCCGAATTTTGTGTATAATAGACGTGGAGTCGGAGGCAGAGCGGCGCACGCCGGCAGCGGCGGCGGCGGCGGCGGGGGCGGTGTGTATGCCAGCGCATTGTCGTCACCGCGAACAACGGAACGACGCCGCGGACAAAAGCGAACAGTTGAGCGCACGTCCGCGCTCGCGGAGAACGTTGACTTGCTTCAGAAACAAAACGGTCAAAAACCATTACGACACTCCTCTACCGCATGCGAACTAAATTTCTAAGTAATCTAATACTGAAATGCAATCCAGTAATGTTTAATTTAGTTGCTGTGAAAGCATTTTAAAATAACACTAAAACAGCAACACCACGAAACAATATTATGTCTAACACTTATTAATATTATATGTAAATACAATTTCTTTCAAAAAAGTATTGCCTCTTGAAAAATATAGTGTAACATTTAGTCTTTGATTTCAGACAGAATTCGTTGAAAAAGTCTTTATATATAAAGTCCAGAAATGTTATAAAATAAATACGCTTAGTGCATTTACTTTTAGCTTCTGATAATCATTAATAGGAAGAATTGAACAAAAGAATCGCTAATTCACAATACAAACAACAAACGCCTTATTGGATTCCCATAGAGTGAAATTGGAATAATTATGTCAGCAATTACTGTGGTATTATACGGTTGACGGACTTATTGATGTCAAAGGCAGTGAACTAGTACATGATCGTGTCACTTGCACTGCTCAAGTATTCGTAGTGCACATTTGTCAGTGAAATTAATGGATCTGTCAGGGAGCTATTGGAATAACTCCTTCAAATTAGCCCAGGCACTTCATTTACAGTAATACTAATTGCAATAACTTTTATAATAGATCTAGAAGTGCTCAATTATGCTTCATTTTTATTTCCTGAAAAATATGCTATTAATATATATTAATTTATATTATGAATAATAAAATGTAGTCTATGAACTCAATTTCTGAAAGATTTTTCGTCCACTTTTGAATATCTTTGATGATAAAAATAATATAAATATAGAATACACACACGTACAACCTTGAAACTATTCTTAAGGTGGCTCCACACATGCGGCATTCGGCGAATCCCGAGCAACCGCTCGTCGAATCCCCAGTAGTGTGAATGGGTTGCTTGCGATTCGTCAAGCGCCGAACATTCGGTATTCGCCCTACCCATCGCGTGTCAGGCTTTAGGACACATCAAAAGGAGCGAACATTCGCTGAACACGTCAGCTGTCCGAGATGAGGCGAGCAGTATCTCCCTGCTTGGCGAATGCCGAATATGTGGAGCTCCCTTTAGAATGAATGAATTTTAAGTATAATACCATATAACCTATAGTATATTAAACACGCAATATAATGTTATTAAATTTCTTTAACAGTAGTGGTATGACATTTTGAAATATTAAATTGATATGAAATAATATAAAGTGAAATAAAAGAAAATGAATATAATAAATATAAAAATGGACTGAATTTCAATTTATATGATTATTCTGAATTTGAATCCGAATGTCGATATGTCATTCGATGCGTCTGTGGAATAAGTTTCAAATAACTATTTACATCGGATCTTCTGTTTTCTATTCTTTCCTTTTAACCATAACTTTACGATTGTCATTCTCGTCATAATTATCATCTACTTCTTTTATCTTACACCTCTTCGCCATGAAATGTGTTGCGTTGGATCCGCGGGCTGTCTTTATTGACTCTTGGCTGCCGGGGATGGCGCGAACCTCGTGTAGCTCTTTGAGACTGACATTCCGGCCACGTTGTGACCTTTTGCAGAGCTACACTGCTGATAGCTGCAGCAGTTAGGATTTTTATATAACTAGTTAGAAACTAATGTGATTAACTTTCTGAACTCGTTATAACATTGCACAAATAATTGTTTTAAAAGTAGAAATAGTAGCTTTGTAGTGGCAATAAAAGTTACTCATTTCTGAAAACTTAGGCAACGAAATAGAACTTCTCTCCGTAAATGTAACTGATTGTTGGAAAGGTCTAATTTTGTAAATAACGGTGATAGAAACATAACTCGTGTCCACGTAAGGGTACGAAAACCTCGTTTTACGGACCTAAGACGCCTTGTTTTCAAGTTAGTTCCGAGGATAATGTAGCAGACTACAAACGCTTATAAGATTTTTCCCTTTATTATAATCTACAAACTTCTATTTTATTCATTTTAAATCTGATGCTGAATATTCCCTCTCGAGAAATAGCACACTTATCGAGGTTTGTGTCAATTTATAAATAGTACAAAACCGTCATCTTTCCTTAACGTGTTGTAAGGCTCCCACAGACCGACGCGGAATGGCCGCAGTGGAACTTTCGCGTCACGTGTTGCTGTACGAGGACGTTGAGACCTGTGCGACAGGCGAGTGTCGCGGCAGCGGATTGGCAGCATTTTCTTACCTGCAGATTTGAGAACGCAATCGGACGCTCTTCGCCTTCGCTCCCTTCTCGATTAAACTCCTCCTGTGTTTGTTTATCGGATGAGGAAAACTGTCACCAAACGCTGAGTCATAATTGTCGCTCCGGTGTCAACGATCCCACGGATTCCGTCCCTGCGTCTAGCGCGGAGCGTTCCCCGTCGCACCCGCTGCTAATCTTCTGTGCCAGTCTGTGAGAGCCTTTAGAGTGAGATTATGTTTTACAGAAAAATAAATTTCTATTGGTAAGGTGTTTTATCCCCAAGGTGATGTAAGTCGAAGTATTGTTGCGAACGGTGATTCGAGATCGTGGGGCCTTCGACCACTCCCCACCCCCAAGGGCGGAAGCGTCTCTTTTAAATAAGAGGTTTAATAGTAGTTACGTACGTAACTCCTCATCCTCCTCCAACTCTTCCTCTTCAACTCCTCCCACTCTTCCCCTTCAACTCCTCCCACTCTTCCCCTTCAACTCCTCCCACTCTTCCTCTTCAACTCCTCCCACTCTTCCTCTTCAACTCCTCCCACTCTTCCTCGTCAATACCTCCAAGTCTTCCTCTTCAACTCCTCCTCCAACTCTTCCTTTACCTACTCAACCTCTGGCGCTACTCCTTCCCTCCTTCCGTCGCATCACGCGATACGCAAACCTCTGCGCCACGCGCGCTGCTTCCTTGGAGACAGGCAAACAGGCGGCGCAGCCTGTGTGCGTTTCCTTTTAGAAATATGGATATCCGATTCCGAATATCAGGTCTCGCGCTGCACAGATAAGAGAGGAGACGAGTGGGGGAAAGAGGAGTCTTTCAGCGAGAAGCGGAGGCTTACAAGAAAGCTGGGCGCTCCGACAGCGGTACCAATCGAAACCGCGATAGCACTTCCTGTAGTCTTCCAATTTCAAGAGCGCTGGAAATAATAAATGTTTCCATGGTTTATAGATTTTTCACAGTGCTGTAGGTATTACCAATAATTAGGGATAGAATTTTTTGAAGAAACTGCTCTAAAGAATCTTATTCTTGAAAACTCTGGTCCATTCTTTGCTGTGGCCGTCTTTTATCTTTTTGTAAGCGGAAGAATTAATTTTAATTCAGTGTTATTTCTGACAAAAATTACAAAACGTTATTTTTTCTTTTCAGTATTCCCATAAATTAATTTCCATTGTTACTGAAGAATTTTAAGCTCATTAATGAGAATTGGCCGTATAAATGTGTTATTAACAATTATCTAAAAAATAAATACTTGTAGATAATACATTCAAGCTCACATGCATTTAATGTATATTGCAAGCTAATTCTACTTCAGATAACGTAAATTATGACTTCATAGCGACATTTGGAAATCAAGATCCATGGGGTGCTTAAGATAAACCCCTGACCTAAAAATATGGATTTAGCAATTGGTAAAGTAAGATTTATTCCTTTTCATTGGTCTCATTTCATTTCAATACTCTTTTCCCTCAAGTGTAGCAAATCCTCATATTTCAGTTTTTTAGATAGTTGCAAAGCACATTTGCTTACACAGATACAATGAAACCGTATCTTGTTACCACATGTCCAACTCCACTATATACCAGACAATACAGTAGGTCAACAGTTCTGCTATTTGTATTCGCGGTGGAAATGCGGTTCCGTTTCTCGCAGTTTAGCGTCAGCACACCCGGATGTTTGCTCGAGCATATGCATTTGCCGTCTGTTTCCCTTTGCTACAACATCACGTACTTTGAGTTCACAATATCAGAAACCTCATTACCAGACCCAAGCGCGTTTGTTGTGGAAGTTCGTGTACATTTGTCCATGCGAGATATCCTCAGTTCCTCTAAAACAGTTTCCCAGGTTCGAAATACATTCGTGACGTGTCATGGCCAACGCAACATTATGCCCTTTTGTGGTTACTCTTTCATGGCTTCACACCCATTCTGCTTGTTAGCTATTTCCTTTTCTGGTGCAACAACTTACTGTTGCGTTGTTAAATTCACATACTCTGATACCAAAACTGCGCCCATTATCCTAACAGTCCTCATCCTCATTATTTGTCTTTTTAAAAGATGGGATATTTCTTCAATTACTTTGACAAAAGTAATAATAGTAGAGATTATTATAGTTTATGACAATAGTTTCAAATTGTTAAATAATATTCAGTTTGCAATGTTTCATCAAATACATCTCTGGACAAATAGATCGACACATTTTATACGAACACTTCAGAATCTAGTACTACGAAAATGGATGCGGCTTTCTAGCCAGTAGAATTTTTTTGCTTCCTAGAAAGAACGTGCAGCGACTTTGCATGTAAAAGTAATAAGATTGACCTCTTTTCCCGATCTCAAATGTGTCACTGAATTGACTAATTTTTGCATCAAAAAATCAATTTTCAGAATAATTTGTAATTTTGTTCGCAACTATAAAATTATTTTTTCTCTCAAACAAATTTCATTTCGATCTATTCACAATTTCGACTTTTATTTAAAAATAGAATAAGAATGATCCTTG